ATAATAAATATCGACCAGTTTGAGTGAAATTATCGTATGTGCCATTTTTTCGAAACTTACTTTCTGATACAAATTTATTCTACACCTCACAACGCAGCATCTGGTAAAATAATGTAGTTGAAAACCCTATACATAGTTACGCCAAAAATTTACTTCATAATTTATCGTATGTGCCATACGTAGTAAAAAATTTAATTAAAACTTAAAAAAAAGCTCTCCTGTAAAATTTGACTTCTGGCATATGCGATAATTTCGCGCAAAGGAGTCGGCATGGAAATTTAGCTCCAAATGGTGCATTTTTTCTGTTAAATATACACTTAAAATGAACTTAATTCCTAAAGGACTATTTTTTCTTCCACCTGCAAACTTAATATTTATGTTGTGTCCTGCTTTTATTTATTTTTGTTTAGTCGTGTGTTCGGCGATTGAAAAGATAATAGCATAAAATACAAAAATATAAAAAAACACAAAAGACATTTTGTAAAATTTCAAAATTCTAAATTCGTTGCCAATCATCAATTTGTTAAAAATACGAGGGTCACTAAACTAGTTTCTAAGTTTCAAAAAACTCAAATGACACTGAGTCGATCTGGCGTTTGCATCGTAAAATTTGACATTTCCAGCTCCTTGCGTTTCAAGTAGACAAAAAACGAATATTTCAAAAGAAGGTTTTCTTTGGCTGATTGTTTACAAATTTCGACGTAGTTTGACACAAGAAAAGTGCATCGGTGAACCTTTTTTTGCCTATTGGTGATGAAACACCATCGAATTCCAGTCTTTATGACACATCTAGTAACACAAATAATTGCACTCAAAACATCGAATTGATTCGATGTCGCTACAGCTATATATGTAGGCAATCTTACTGAGATTAATGTTTTCTGGTTAAGCCTTTATAACTTAACTCATGTTATAATACTAAGAGTATACGTAGGTATTCGAATTCTGGAAGTACCGAAAGTGTGTTGTGACATTTGTTTTTAGGCCTCCTTTTTATATTTCTTTTACCTTTCCATATTTAGTTTGCCTTCGCTATTGAAAGAAAAAATGTTAATTGTTTGCTGTGTTAAGACTTGTTTTGATAGAAAGATCGTTTTTTACTTTCCGCTTATTTTCCGTAACAAAAAGAAACAGCGATGGCCGAAATACGTGACTGCGAAGGACTTAAATTCTGGCCGATAGAAAAAACCCCGAAAATTTTACTAAAGGGTTGGCGACTTACGCAGAGCTGCAAGTTCCCTTAAGAACAACAACGGCAACCCAGTGAGCTATGTTTAGTACGAACTTAAATAATGGAGGGAAACCCTATTGAATGGATGCAACACTGAAAGTAGTGAAGAAAAGATAACCGATCCCCCAGTTGATTATTAAATAAGCGATGTCCAACCGCCTCACCATAACGAAGTATGAACAGCAATTACGCGTCTGAAAAGCAACAAATCTGAAAGGAGCTGACGGCCTGCTGACGCTATATGCGCCAACTACCGTGGTACCAGCCTTCTAAGCATCGGATAAAAGGCTTTATTGAGCTTATTATGTGAAAGGCTAAAACCTACCCTCAACGAACTCGTAAGTCCACCATAGACCAGCAATTCACCATTCGCCAAATATTGTAAAATACCCGTGGGAATAGGATCGAACACACCACGAAACTAGTTGCTTTATGCCGCGATGTCTGAATTTAGTATCACGGTGAAACTAATACGGATACCACCAGCTTTATCAGAATTCGGGAGGACCTCTCCGAGCTGTTGATACCAATCGAGGTTTTAGACAGGGTGACTCCTTTTCGGATTTGATGAACATAATACAATAGAGTACAGTTTCTGGCGTATATCGAAGGCATCGACTCCATTGGAAAAAACAAGCGCTACGTCTGTTTTGGCTTCTAGTATTTACATAGATAGAGAAGCAAAGCGCTTGGGCCTGAGGGTGAACGACGATAAAATGAAATATCTCTTCTTATCCGACAATTTGGCATGGTTTATTTAAGAACCAATATTAATATCAGCTTTGAAATCCAAAGTGAATCACTCCTGCCAAAAATTGCGTCGTACCAAAATCATACACTATAAGTCACTCATAATGCCCGGATTAAAATACAGCGGCTTCGCTGGCTCGTACAAATGTACAGGAACTGTTTACCTCTGAAAAAAAAATGCATCGCAATGCTGGTAACAGAGGAAAAGAAAGGCCATCTAGGGACAATACTTCACTTGGGATATCCCATTGGCGTCAGTTGGCACAGAATAGCAACGGATAGCGTGCTTTATTGGACTCGGCCACAATCGCTTAGGCGGTTACAGCGCCAATTGAGAAGAAGGGATGGGTGGATGAGCATATATTTCCGTAGCTCGCTAAGAGGAAAAAATTAGTCTCAGGCTACTTACAGTCTACATTCCTAGAGGAAGGCTCGCTGAACAGTTAGGAGGCCCACAAAATAATTACCATAAATACTGATTTTATGCATAAAAGCCTGAAATTGAATACTGCTATTTTCTATGCAGAAGAAGACAAACATTTGTGCGTACAGACATTTAAAATGATCAGCGTTCTGAGACAAAGTTGAGAATATAACAGGCTCGTCAACCCTACGAACCGGTTTAAGGATGAGAAAATGTGTTGGATCTTTGTATCGCATAAGGACAGCTTAATGTATTCCTTATATATACTTGTGCTAATAGAAATGTGTGCAGCAGCTACTTCAACCTAAGCCATTATAAGGTAACCCTTGATAAAAAAGAAGCCAGTTTCAATAAAAAACTTTTAGATGGATACTGGGATTTTTGAAGCTTTATAATATGTTCATGTTGCTAGCAGCGTTACCATATTGTTAATATTTAAAAATAAATTAGGGAATTTCGAGATGGGAATTTCTTTCACAGCTAATTGGTGTAAATATTTTAGTCGTCTTAGACGAAACCAAACAAGTCTAGTACGTGATATACATATGTATTGAAAATATGTAAATAAAAAGAATGCAATTTTACTTCGAAATACGACGGATAATGGCATAATGGCATATGTACTTAGGTCTATGGTATTTCTCAAGTGTGTATGTTGCGTTACCATTATTAAATGCTTTTCTTTAATAAATTCAACGGGTTTTGGTGATGTCATTTTCTCATCTTCTTATTTTCATGTTTAGTTTTGTTCTCTTTTAACTTCAGGTTTAAATATCGAATTCCGAAAAACGTCCTTCCCAAATAAACGTTTAACAATGCTGTCCTCGAGAGTTACATTTGAATTGTAAATTTTTTTTCTTTGGACTTTTTAACTTTTCGCCATTAGTGTTGAGAACATACATACGAATATTTTAGAATTTTTACCGTTTTCTTTGTAGTGGTAATTTGTATTTTTCAGCTTCCAAATGCGCAACTATTTTTTCTTTTTGTAATTTTAAATCATTATTTTTTTTGCTTTGTTGATCAAATGCTTTTCAGAAATAAGAATTATTTTAATTCTTAATCTGGCAGCTAGATTTTGATGCAAATGTCAGCAAAAGTCAAATGTCATTAAGTGAAACTACCTTCTTTTTTCTACCATGGGGTAGCCATTTGCGAAAATAAAATTTGAAAAACTTTATGTCAGTCGAAAAAAGAACTATTTTATTACTTAATTATTGTTTGTTAGTTTTATTAAAATAATACATGCATGCGCATTCCACACATTTTTTTACCTACATGTTACTATCTATATGTATATATCTTACGTATGTATGCTTGTGTGTGTTAAATTTATACGTATGTATGAAAGTTTTAAAATTTTATATTCGCTTGAATTATTTAATAACCGGTTGCCGCCCACTAGCGCCATGTTAAGATCAAATCTCTTTTTACGTTGAGCTCGATTTTGTGCAAACATATATACCTACAATAAATTTATTTAATTTTCTATTTTCTTCTTTGCTCCGTCCATTATAGGAGACACACAATTTTTTGCTGTTAGGAGATGCTTAAATATGTGTATATTTTTAATTGTTTTCCGTTACTTAGTTATAGGAGTTAAAAAATGCTTTCGCCCGTGTCCACATTAAGAGAATATGGATTCATGCTTTACCTCTGTATGTGCGTTCATACATACATATATATTTATTTACATCCATACATACACTTTATGTGTATATGTGTTACCGTATTCGCTTAGGACGACATTTCATGCCAACAAATGTTTAAAAGTTTCGCTTCTAGATGACCATATAATCACATCCTTCGTGCATCGATTCGTACATAATCGTTTTCGTAGTCAGCATCTTATATTAATATAAAAAAAATATAATAGCTGTTCATATGTATGTATAATAGCTACATCAATTCGCGTTTACATATACATACATACTCGTTTCGTATATGAATATTTTTCTAAAACATTTTAATGTTCCGAAAGTGAAGAAACGGTAACAAACAATTTTTCATTTCTCTTTCCTTCTTTCATATGTGCTGTTGTCTCTCTCATTCTTTCTTTTTTTCTATGAAATGCATTAAACAAAACTAAACAAAAATATTTAAATTGTGATACATGAACCGTTTTTTAAATCGTAAAACTATGTTGTGTCGCAATAATCAAAAATCCAAATCAAATAATATATAAACCATAAATGATCAAATGTGTTGTCCTTGTCTACTGGTGTCTACATATATCGCTGTCTTTTTTCAATCAAAACAAAAATGAAATCCACTTTTTTCGTCACTCTCTTTCTTTGTGTCTCTCTGTATTTGCTCTTTATCTCTCTCTATTGAATCCCTATTTGTGTGTGTGTCTGCAATTGTGTAATGTGTAAACAAATATAAACTATCATTTAACAAAAATTATTATATGAATTTCAAACCTTATCCCACAACTGTTACTTCAATTAAACGACACTTATTTTTTTTTTTATTCAAAACCAATAACCCTATAATCAATAAATACGCAAACACATTTGCTCGCATAACTATGCAAATCACTCTTAAATATACATAAATATGTAGCGTGGCACAATACAACTGTACAATTTACAGAGCACAACTATGCCCATCTTGTCGCTGAACGCGCATAACATACCGACCGGCACCAGCAGCTACTCGGCCTTGGGGCTAAGTGGTACCGGCGGGGTGCCACCGCTTGGTTCGTCGCTGACTCACCCCACCTTGGGCAATATGCTCGATACGAGCACCTTATTGGGCACTACCGGCTTGTCGGGTCTGAGTGGTGTGACGGGCGCGTCCTCGTTGTACGGATTGGGCGCTGGCACCGGCATTGGCGGTTTGAGTGGTCTGTCAGCTGGATTGCCCAATTCATATCCCCCACCGTTCATTGATGTGGGCTCGAGCGCCTCATATCCCTACTCATCGGCTGCACTGCGTACCGCTACAAAGATGAAAATGCTCGACGAAATCGATATACCGTTGACGCGTTATGGCAATCGTAGCTCACCATGTTCGCCGATACCGCCTAGCACGTGGGGCCTGGATGAGTTCACGGACAGCCTGAGTGCATCAATGTTGCACAATCGTGGCAATTTGGCTTTGGGCGCCTTGGATTTAGAAAGTAAGTGGGGATGGGTAGAAATGGACGGTATGAAACACATAATTGCAAGTTTGTATATTTTCTCATGCAATTTTTTTAATTCTGCAGCGCGGAATCACAACTTAAATGGCGTGAGTGAACCACAGGTGGACATGTTGGACATACCTGGCAAGGGACGGTGCTGTGTCTTCATAGCGCGCTTTCCTTACGATCCACCAGAGTGAGTACTTACATAAAGTTGATGCATATAGAATAAGAAGAGCGGGGATATTACAGATATGATTTATTTAAGAAATCTGATATTAAAGGGTTTTCTAATAAGGGGTGGATAGATATGGAAATAAAATATAATAAAACAAGCTGTCTGTGAGTTATCAAACAAAATCTGTTTTCATTTCTTAGCCCCACGAAAATCATTGGGCGCGTTCATAAGACGTTGCTGTTGCGTAACCGTTGGCTATTTGTCTTAGATACGCACAGATGAGTAGTTCCGCTCAGCTTAACATTTGGCAACTTTCCGCCATTTTTTCCAGCGGAAAATTTTTACGCTACCTAGACTTAACGTGTTGGGCTTAGCCTAAAAAGCTGATAGAAAAGACTTACGCCGCTTATATTAAATTTAACGCCGCTTTGTTAGGAGGCAGTTGCAAATAACTTTTTTCTATTTTATATTACTGATGTGATTAAGTAACCAAAATATTTTATAATTGAACGATTTTTCAACATGGCGGCACCTCAGCGTTGAATTGTGAATACTATCGGCGCAACTATCTCTATTTGTTGCAATCTCATTTGTTTACATTTATCAGCTGTTCATTTGGCAGCATATTCATCAAGCCGTTTCTAAGACGTAATTGTTGGGTTTAACAGTTGCCAACAGTTTTATAGCAGATGAGCTATACAGCTACGTCTTATGAACGCGCCCATTATATCGATGGCTGAGTGGAAGGTCGACCTATCTCGACAGTCAGTTCGAAAACGCCCTATCTCAGAAAACTTTTCAAGAACGCCCTTCTTCAGAATTTGATTGAAAAATGCCCTATTTCAGAATTTGGTTGAAGAACGCCTTATCTCAGCTTATTTTCATTGTATTTTCGTTTCAGATAGGGCATTTTTGAACCAAGTTCTGAGATAGAGTGTCATTCAACCAAATTTAAAGATAGGGTGTTTTTCAATAAAATTCTGAAGTAGGGCATTCTTGAAGAGTTGTCTGAGATAGGGCGTTTTTGAACTGGCTGTCGAGACATGACGATCTTCCACTCAGCCATCGGTATATGGAATATAACATCATTTATGTACATGTCCACCATGGCTTCTTATGGTGGCATCGTGATCGGTCGATTGCGGCTTATGGGCATAGATCTGCGACCTTAATAAACCCCGCAAAAAAGGCGTGGTGGCCCATTAACCTTACCCTCAAAACGTTTATGCGGAATGTGAATAGTAGGTTGTACTGGCACTAACTGTAAAACACTTTATATATTCTTTCTTTTTCATACACCTATTTTTTCTTATGGCGCTAAAATCGTAAGTCGGTATAGGCCTATACAAAAACTGCAATCTAGGCATCTACCCTTTGTTAAGTTCCGCCAGTTATTCATCCTAAATGTAGATATGTATTTCACCCTGCTGGAAACTGTTGAACCCAACAATACGTATGATATGTTCAAGCCACCGCGATCGTTGTACTTTTATGCGTTGGACTAATCGAAAAGGTCACGGAGTTCGTCGTTCCATCGTCTTCGGTACCCTTGCCCCACGTGAATAGGGTAACTGATCTTGTGTCCTCAAAAGCGGCCAAAGCCTTTTCATCGTTGGTCGACATCGCCGACGAAGTCACGAAAACCCTTTGCTTGTGCCATAACGTACTTTGTCTTGTCCTCGTACACCCCTCAGTTTAAATTTTTTACAAGCTGGAAAAAATCCATGTTCTCTGAGGGAATGTTATCAGAATTCCAAGCTTGTTTTTGCAAGAACTACCCTTGGTCCTGAAAGCGTTCGACTCTTGGCTTATTCTTTCATTTCTTCGGACCAACGTCTCCCTTTTTTTACTCCTTTAGAAAATAGTATATCCTCTTCGTTATTGGAGGTGTGCTGGTGAAAGCTGGCATTTCCTATTCCGCCGGGATGTGCGCATAAATAAAGCTAAACATGTTAAACTTGGCTTTTAAGCCGATTATGTAGTCCCCGCCTAACCAAATTTGCTTGCCACCATGTCTCGTCCATCGCATTTCCTGCGATGCAATACTTGAACTTCAGGTATTTCTAGCATGAAAAAGCTTCTCAGAAAACCATTTGCTGTTCGGAGGCGCCCTAAAATTTCAGGTCCCTTCATTTGTGTTATAACATCCGGCCGCACTCCATCAACTGTCCAAAATCTTAGCAAAATTTATTTTTATTGGTGTGCCTTACCTTAGCTCTCGGTATGGGAAAATTGGTGGTGACCCAGCAGGATCTTTGTAACTGCTGCTTTTGAAACTCAGCAGAATAGCTCTAATTGCTTCCTATGTGTCCAAACGAAAATTTCTGGACTATCTCAAGACTATTTCGGGACTAGTTTAGGATTATTATACGACCATATTTGATAATTTGTGTATACTTACAAATGGGAAGATTTGAGTTCGTACTCATTTAAGTAGAAAAAGATGTTAGGTTAGGTTGGGTTGATGTGGTAGACGGTTCAAATGACCAACTCACTTAGAAAAAGATGTTTGATTTGATATTTTCTCTCTCTTCATTAGGGAAGCTGAAGGTGAGCTATCACTATGCGCCGGCGATTATTTACTCGTATGGACTAGCGGCGAACCACAAGGCGGTTACTTGGATGCTGAATTGTTGGATGGTAGGCGTGGTCTAGTGCCTGCGTCCTTTGTGCAGCGTTTAATAGGTACACATACATGACGTGATACGTGATTTATATACTACTAGATCTTGTTTGGGGTCGCAGAATAAGAATGTGAAACTCGAGTATGATTCCAAGGAAGCGGAAGGAAGGTCCTTCTGGAGCTGCTGTCGATAATCTCGATAGACATGTAGTAAACTTGATTAAAGCATAAACAGACGGAAAAGTTGATCCGGGTCAACGGCAAAATTGACCTGACCAAAAGTGTGCTTTGACGGCAGTCGTTGGTTCGAGTCCCACGGCCAGTAGAATTTTAATTTATTATTTTTTTTACTCATTCAATTACGACTTCTATATTTGTTTAATGTTGTTTTTAGTTATTTAACTCATGCATTTTCCTCTTTAAAATGCGCATAAGCAGCCGAACAAATGCACGAAATTGTTGGGAATTAACTGCATTCCGGGGTATTTTCGAAGACAACACGGCCAGCTGTTGTCTTTTGTAGTGATGTGCTCAGTCGGTACTTTTAAGTATTGATCGATACTCGGTACCGATTTAAAAAGTATCCAATACTTTCGACACTCGGTACCGAAATGTTGAAATTTCTAATATGAGTCCGCAATATCCACAAATATGAAATAAAAGCTATTGTTGATGTCAATAATTTTTGGTTAATAAGTTTATTTCTCCACATTATTTGCATTTGAACGTTCTCGTCGCTGTATTAATATCTGCTCCTGCGGCAACTACAATGCAAATGGTAATAAATATTTTGCCATAAATGTTACTAATTAACAATGTTGTTGAATGAACTGTTGCAGTTGGTAAGACTATGGCGATAAGTACAACAAGTACCTTGTTAATTTCAGGCATTTTATTTATCCACATTTTAAACTTCGTATAAAATTTATTAAAATTAAACAAACCTTAACAATTATTTACATCCAAAAATGTTTCACTTTTTATGCAGATTTACAGCCCATTAAATTTTAGTATGTTAAAGTGCAAATTTCAAGAAGCTAGAAAATCGTGTCGATTTTAAATAATGGTTTTAGCTGACCATACCTTATATGGAGGAAAATACCTAGCACCGTCAGCAAAAAAAAAATATTAAAAATCAACGAAATTTTCTAGTGTTTTAAAATCTGCAGTTTAACCTACTAGAGTTTAATGGGCTATAAAACTGTATACCTAAAATTTTTTAGACAATTTTTAATAAAAAGTTTAAAAATTTTAGGTGTAATTAGTCACGTTTGTTGAATTTTTGTAAAAAGTTTGAAATGTGGACTAATGTGGTGCTGGTTATTAATGTGATAGACTTTTATAAAAATTATAAACATTAAATAATCAAAACATAAATAACCAAAACTGGTCAAAATGTCAATGAACTTAATCAGGTGACCATAAGTCTATAGTATATTATGACGAAGGTTTAATGTATCGAATCGGTATCGGGTACCGAAAAGAAAGTATTGGATACCCAAATTTTTTTCAAGTATTGGGTACCGAAAATTCAGCACATCACTAGTCTTTTGTTCAAGTAAGCAAACAAAGCAGGCGAATTTCGTGCCCGCGGTAGCCGAGTGGTGAGATTTGCGGGCTACAAGCCTCTAGCTGCCAGGTTCAATCCTCAGTTGGAGCGATTACCAAAAATTTTTTGTTTTTATTATTTATTTTTTTTTATTTTATTTGATTTATATATTTAATTTTACTTTATTTTATTTTGATTTGCTTTATTTATTTTATTTTATTTATTTTTTATTTTATTTGATTTATATATTTAATTTTACTTTATTTTATTTTCACTTGCTTTATCTTATATCACATTTTTTTATTTTACTATTCGTTAATTAAAATTTTTAGAGTTGAGTTTTATTAAAAAGTCAACAACTAACTGAAATCTACGTAAAAAAATATGGAACTTATAAAAAATAAGAATGAAAACGAAATAAATGAAAATTATACTGGCCGACTGGACTCGAACCCACAACCTTGCGACTCGTTTATCCGCATTACTGCCGTCTGTAAGGGTAATATTATTATGCCAGAATAATTAATAATATTATGTGTGCCGGAATATATGCTTAAGCTTTGCCGTCTGTCACAGCTTTTATTCAACTTAAATTGGATTCCTATCTGAATTTATATGATGACTGCATTATCGATGAAAAGGTATATGCCCATGCTGTATTCTAGCTCTCTGAGTTTTAGTCAGTGTTGTCAACGAAAATTCTATTGATCCGAATTAAGTTTGGGAATTAACTCTAGTACTTAATCCAAATCAACTTTAGTTAATTCTCGAGATAAATTCGAGTTAACGAGTTGATCCGAATCAACGCTGCTGTCCGTCTATGCTTTATACGTATTTAATAATTGCAAACGCTTTTTTGGAAGAGTCAAGTGGAACATTTATTTCAGAATTGTTCTTCAAACACTCGGTGGACAGTTGCCGACCTTTTTGTTACACTGTGCACTTTTTTATTTAAATTTATTTTATTACTACTCAGGTGACGATCTCTTGGAATTCCATCAGGCAGTTCTATCGACACTCCGCGACGCCGAGGATGGTTCTATGCAATGTGATACCACATCGTTGCCATCGCTGCCGCCACACAATCCTTTGCTCACACACACCCAGGAGGACTTGGCGCGATTGAGTGAGACGCACACCGATTTGGAGCACGATCAGGATGATATCAGTGATAATGGTGAGCAGATATTTGGCTTAGGACATACAGATACATACATACCTAAATAAGTTAATGTATGCACTTATGTTAATTAATTACTCTTTAAAAGATTCTTTGTTTATGATTTGATGTCTTTATTTATATAATACCTTTATATGTGTTTTCCTTTTTACATTTACTTTTGCTTTTGGTGAATTCTGTTGATGTGTTGTTGTAATCTGGATGTCTTTGAAACGTGAGCAAGTATACTCTGAAATGCGTACGAGTTACATAGGTTCATCGAGGCCATTGAATCAACTGCTTTTAGGTTCTACGCCTGCGTTTGAAGGCTAGTTGAATTGCAAAACCAAAGACCATATTTATTTGAAAATAAGTATTTTGTAATGAAGCTAAAAACCCGAATACTTGTGGAGCTTGCTGTAAAAAAAAACAATCCTTTTTGTAGCAGTGTGAGAGTATAGAGAATTTTCCCTTCACTTAAACTGTTTATGTATTTGCACTTGGGCAAATTGTCTTGTAAAATTGCTTCCGCATCCATACCGCTTGTTGGAAGGTCTTGTAAATAATTTCGTCATGATTTCATACGACGGACACTAAATAAGAATTTAGACTAGCTAAGAAAAAAAGTAAGTCATATTTTTGGTTTTCAAGATATTCTTCACCATGACCTCACACCTTTGCATACGCTCAAGCCACTGGAGACGAATTTTTAGAGATTGTGGGATAGATCAACATCACAAATATGATAAATATACAAATATTCTCATTAGCGAAGTATGTGGCAAACTATCGTGCCTAGAGATAGTGCTGCCCTATCGGATGAAATTGACTATCGACACAATCGATAGTTGCCCAAAAACTATCGCCAACTATCTACGGTGTTCACTATCGATAGTTTGCCACCACTAGGTCAACGGGTAATGCTTATGTTGCATTTTGTGGTGACTCAATCTTCTTATTCTTTATTGGCGCTGTAACCGCCCAAGCGATTTTGGCCGAGTCCAAAAAAGCACGCCAGCCATTTCTCTTCTGTGCTAACTGACGCCAATTGGAAATGCCAAGTGCAGCCAAGTCCTTCTCCACCTGGTCTTTCCAACGAAGAGGAGGCCTTCCTCTTACTCTGTTACCAGAATCGCGTTGACTACTTTCAGAGCAGGAGCGTTTTTGTCCATTCGAACGACATGGCCAAGACAGCGGAACCGCTGAATTTTAATTCGCTACACTATGTCTATATCGTTGTAAAGCTCATACAGCTCATTTCATTGTCCATGCCGCCACGCCATACACCGGCACAGGCATGACGAGTGACTTATAGAGTGTGATCTTTGTACGACGAGAGAGGACTTTACTTCTCAATTGCCTACTCAGCCCAAAGTAGCACTTGTTGGCAGTAGTGATTCTCCGTTTGGATTTGAAGGCTGACATTATTATCGGTGTTAATGCTGATTCTCAGATAAACGAAGTTGTCTACTTTTTTGAAACTTGTAACTGTCAACAGTGACGTGTGTGCCAAGACACGTATGCTCTGACTGTTTGTGTGATAACAGGAGATACTTCGTTTTGTCCGCGTTCACCACCAGCCCCATTCGCTTTGCTCCTATATCTAATCCCGACATGAACAGACGTAGCGCTTGTTTTTACCGACAATATCGATATCGTCTGCATACGCCAGCACATGTCCGCTCTTGTAAAGTATTGTGCCTAAACGGTTCAGTTCTGTCTATCTTTTTATCTTCTTCAACATCAGATTAAAGAAATCAAATGAAAAGGAGAAACCTTGTCTGAAACCTCATTTGGTATCAAACGGCTCGGAGAGGTCCTTCCCAATTCTGACAGAGCTGATGGTATTGCTTGACGCCCTTTTACACAGCGGTATTAGTTTCGCGGGGATACCAAATTCTGGCATCGTGGCACAAATACAACTTCTCTGGCGAAAGCGTTCATCTGACCATTTTCTGCATAAGAGTTGATGCGTGCACCTCATCAGCTTTCTAGTGCTGTTGCTATTCAATAGGGTGGAAAAGTGTTGCCTCCATAATTTAAGCACGTTCTGGACATCAGTCTGAAGGTCGTCACGGTTGTAACTACAGGAGTTTGCCCTGGTATTAAAACCTTCCATAAGTCGCCTAACACCCTGATAAAAATTTCGGGCGTTTTTTCCTGTCGGCCAGCATTTCAAGCTCTTTGCATTCACGTATTTCGGCCTCTCTTTTTTATTGCGGCAAATACATCTTGCTTCCTTCTTCAGTTCCACATAACGGCCCATATGACTCTGGTTGCGTCCGATCGCAGCGTGGCCTTAACGGCGGAGTCTTTTCTTGACATTCCTCTTCGTTCCAGTTGTTCTTTCGGGCTCGCTGAAATACAACTACTTCTTCGGCGGAGGTATTTATTGATCGGGAAATGTGGTTGCACTGCTCGCATATGTCGGATTGTTGAAGAGTGCTCTCAGAGAGGAGGTGTATGAGTCGAGTTTTGAATAAATTGGCCGTCGGTTGTGATTGCAGCTTTTCGACGTTAAGCTTTCCTTGCATTGTTGGACGCACATTTTTTGCTATACAGAAGCGGGTGCGTATCTTGGCTGCAACAAGATAGTGGTCCGAGTCGATGTTTGGCCCTCGGAGTGTACGTACGTCTAAAACGCTTAAGCAGGCCTTCCGTCTATCGCAATATGATCGATTTGGTTTGTACGTTTTACAATGTGAAGAGAGGCATGTAGCTTGGTGGATCTTCTTATGCAGGAACCTTGTACCATGTTTCAGGGCCCGGCGAATCGATCAGCCTCAGTCCGTTATCGAACATTTCGTCGTGGAGGCTGAATTTTCCGACAGCGGCGCCAACCTTGCCCACTTTGGCATTAAAATCGCCAAGCACGATTTTGGTATCGTGTTGGGGGCAACGCTCATATGTTCGCTCAAAACGCTCATAGAAAAGATCCTTGGACGCCTCGCCCCTCTCTTCCATCTGAGCATGGGCGCAGATGAGTGAGATGTTGAAGTAGGTGAGTCTCTCCCACCGCAAATCCAACACCGAATTTGCGCCCGCTTGTGTGACAATTGTAGTTGAGGATACGCTTACCTTGCTTTGCTCAGTCCATCGCATTGCTTGGATGTTGGTGATGGTAGCCTTTGTCTTCCAGAGGACATCAAGCAGCTGGGCAGAGGCAAATCATTGTGTTTTATACGTTCGCCGTGGTGTCATTAAAAGAAGGAGTGTCATCCGAGCCTTTCTGAACTTTTTCATTGGGCGAGGTTTTAACGTGGCGGGACCCAAATCCAGTGTACGCGGAGACTTACGCCTTCTCACTTTAACCTGCTCCGAAACGTGTATTTGGTTGCTACCCCGAGGATACGTGGATATAAATATCCGGACGTTGTGAGCTGCGATTTGAACCGTATGCACAAGAATCACTTCTGGCCACTCCCTGGTGAATGACAATGAAAAGCGCCCGCAACCATTAGTGGGGACTCACTGTTTAAATGAGACAAGATAATAACTTGAAAAGAAGAACATTTTCGGACCCAAAATTCAATTCCTTTCCCAGTGAATTAAAAAATTTCTTTACATTACCTAACATTCTTTTCATCGAAATATCTCAGCGGGAAAGGGTTCTTCGCGCGTATTGTTGCCAGCTTAGAATAGTCCGACATGAATATCGACGCACTCCATAAGTTAGATATTTTATTAGCAAGGATGTGTTTTATTTTATCATAAATAAAATTAGCATTTTCATTATTTTTTCAGTAAGTGTACTTTGGTCTAAAATGGTATGATTTTATATTAATGTAAAACACTTTGGAGACAAATATGCCACTATGAAAACAAATATGCCAGTTGCTGTTTTGAAATAAATTAAATTAAATTAATTTTAATTTTTTAGACTTTTATTTTCAAACATACGAACTAAGTATATCCACGAGCTAACCCTAAGCACATCGAATAATATCGCAATAAAAAGGGAATAGTTTAGCCTTTCTTTCCAGTCACTCTCGACTATCTGATTTTCACTTCAAAAGTTTCATCCAAAGTAGAATCAAATAAATGTCTATCTAGTTTCTGAGATACAAATAAGAAACCCTTATTTCGTCCTGGTATTTGTTTGTTGTTTATCTAGTTAGCCTTGTGATTAGAATTTTTCCAGGTACGCTAGAGCGATGTTATTTATTTCCACAAATATGCTTGATCATCTCAAAAGAAAACATTAACATATTTTTATTTTCGTTTTAATCTGATATGCTTTTCTTTAAACTAATTTGTTACACAGTTCCAGCACCTAAGCACTTAACGCTCGAAAGACAGCTGAATAAAAGTGTGCTCATCGGCTGGTCACCACCAGAACCGGTTGGTTACAATCTCATTGACAGCTATCATGTCTACGTGGATGGCGTACTGAAAGTAACGGTAAAGGCAAACGAGCGAACACGAGCGCTCATCGAGGGCGTGGACTCGAATAGGGTAAGATATCCATTTAATACAGACAAATGTAAATTGATTCTGAATTTTTTCTCTCTTCTCGGCTCACAGCCGCATCGCATCAGCGTCCGTAGTGTTACACAAAATCGTCAGACATCACGTGATGCCGCTTGTACTATGATAATCGGACGCGATACCTCGCATTTGGGTCCATCAGCGGTACGCGCTTCACATATAACGTGTTCATCGGCTGTAATTTCATGGCTGCCGGCTAACTCTAATCATCAACACGTGGTGTGCGTGAATAATGTTGAAGTGCGCACAGTGAAGCCAGGCGTCTATCGGCACACCATTACCGGGCTGGCCCCGAGCACACAATATCGGGTCACTGTACGCGCTAAGCACTTACGCGCACCAGGTGGACAACAAACACCAGGACGTCCGCAAGAGGAAGCACCGGGTGCGTATGCCGATTTCCGCACGTTGACTAAGGGTTTGCCCGATCCGCCACAGGTGAGTTTGTGCTACAGTATTTCCGGTTAAAATTTGTTCTGACAACTTTTATTTTCTTTATAGGATATCCAACTTGAGGCTGGTCCTCAAGATGGTACCATTCTGGTGACATGGCAGCCGGTTAACCGGCCAACTTCTTCTGGCCCCGTAACCGGCTATGCTGTGTACGCCGATGGTAAAAAAGTGACGGACATTAATTCACCAACTGGGGATCATGCGCTCATCGATATCGGCAAATTGGGCGTATTTAATCCACGTGCGGTCACCATACGCACCAAATCGCGGGACGCACAATCGGCTGATAGTGCGCCGATACTAATACCAAGTAAGTAAATATTGAATTCAGACATCAATGTTCAAATCCCTAAGCTGAGCTCACTTAAGAGGCCTTAACGGGGACAATGAATGACACTCTCTTGGCTCTTCTAGAGACTCATTTCCCTCCATCGATAAGAGAGGAACAATTGGTTTGTTTGCTAGGATTTTGGCGAGTAAAGATGCCTAAAAATATGCTATTAAATCTATTGATAACGTTAAATCGCTTACACTTGTCTACAATACACAAATATGGAGATAAATTAATGTCATTTTTATTCCTAAAGTTACTGTACTAGCTTACACGCCAATTAGCATCAGGTGATATCATCACAATTTCTGTTTTTGCATCAGCACTCCTATATAATAGGTGGATAAACCTTTTAAGATGTCTCTTAAAAAATTTGGTTGCGTTCAATGCTCGGGTAGAGGATTTACTTGGGCGGAGTTTATAGGCGCAGTACACAGGGCGACGCACGGTGTTTCGACTATATGGAGGCAGGTGGAAATAATAGTAAACCTCCACTGATTTCGCTGAAACTTGACATGTGCTCTAATTTTACCTAAAAATAGGGAATTATTAAATTTGGTAAAGACAGAATACTTGCCACGCCCTCCACTATTGTGGGCGGAAACATTAATTTGTATCCGACTTCGATGAAATTTAGTTTGTACTCTTCATTTCATTAGAAAATTCTAAATATAAAATATGAGGAGGATTTGATCACTATAACGTCCAAAACTCACAAAAAATGTGGGTCCAGTCATTAAATGTGATGGAATTTTGGTAAATTTTTGTTTCCTGCTTTTCACTCTTAGAAAACAAAGGTTATACTTTAAAATTACATAGGTGTAAATATTCCCTTTTTCCATTGTTCGAAACATTATTTTCGCGAAATTTTGTAGCTATAGCAGAATATACACAATCGGACTTGTATGCATACTTGGTCGCATGCCAGTTAAGTATACACCATGCGACACGTTGTTCAAACATTATTTCGTTGTAATCGTTGAAGTGAGCGAACATCACGGCATACGGATCTACTTCTTCCCAGTAAACATTTAGAGGCACAAATTATTCATACTGTACTCTTATTACCTTCTCATACGGCTCGTTATGGAGACATATTGAAGTTTGTTTTGGTGAATATACTAATACCTTTTTCTCCAATAAACAATTTGCAAAAGTTTCGGGTGGGCTTTCCTTTATGGCCTCTTCTCCGGCAACACGGAAAGGCTCAAGTCAGTGCCTTCATCTACTCAAAACAAGCAAAACTTTACATTTTTCCCAAGGCAGTTGGGAGTTGCAATTTTTGTAAACGGCGGCTCATGGCTGCTCTAAAATTGGGTATGGGAGGAGCCGCGCCCTCCCGCTCCGCCCACCGCGCACACAACGTAAAGTAAAGTTGCCGAAAGTTTATGTCATTCATATGCATATACATACATACACATCGTCACCTGAAATGCAAAAAGTCGTGACTAATAATTTTTTTTTTTTTTTCATAAAACGATGTTGGGAGTTGTAATTCGATCCAATCCATCATACCAATCAAAAAGTGAATTTTGAATTTTTTATAAGTTAAGACTTTTTGCATTTCAGCGACGATGTTTGTTGTTTTTTTTTTGCATTTCAGGTGACGATATATGATATATGTAGTTACATGAAGGTATTAATAAAGAACTAGAATTTGAAATTTATTATTTTAATTGTTAATCCTTATACATAAGGCGTTTACACGGCTTCGCATGAGCTCCTATGTTACTCTTTTACACGAAACAATGTTCTGTAAAGATATAATGCAAATCAGTTTAAAAAGTAAAATTAATTGACTTATTTGTGATTCAAAATGTTTGCTGGGTTTGTACTTTTCTACACAAATATGCGTACTATAAACGTTCATACCTGCCGTAACAACGAGCAGAAAATTTGAAAATTTTAAATTTTCTTCATAAATGTCTGCAGACGTAGAATTTGGTATGCACACCCGCTTATCCACGATGCGACGGGTTGTCATACTTGACATGTAGCGCAGACAAGTCTGCTTGTGTATATTCTGCTTATGACTTTTAATTTTCCCTCTCTAAGCTCAACCGGTTTTTTTTTTGGTCAATTATCACCATGACTTTTTTCTACCTGCCTCCAGAAGTCGAAACACTGTGCGGCGTTGTTTTTTGTATTGCTCTGGTGCCAGGTAATTCAGTTCTAACCGGGAAACCTTAACAGCTCTCTCTCAGTTGTTCTCAAGAAATCGCAAGAGTTCAAATGACACTTGGTGTAGTAAGCAGGTCTTTAGTAAAAAATGGGATCTGTCACCTGGAGAAATTATCAGATATAAATCTGTGGCATAGTAAAGCTTACCAAGCCTTGGTCGTGGTAAGTTACAGTGAGACCTATGTTACATACCTCTTTCTTTTGTTAGGTAGGTTAATAAGGAGTATAAATACTAGCAACCAACAAAAATCATTCAGAACGAAAAATTGACACTGAAGACGGCACAACGCCGAAACCGGTTTGTCTCCAAACCAAATTAAACAAGGGATGACGGGATACATTGTAAAGAACCTTTTTATGCCCTTGTATTCTTCCCAGTTCTCAAAGAATTACGGCAGAGGAGAAAGCGTAAAAATAACAAGTACCCGGCGCAGGTATCAACTATCGTCGTTCCAACTTTCTTTAAACTAACTAAAAGTCTATAACAGTATTATTTATTGTTGATAGATTGTTGTATTAACTTGGAGTAAACGAACGTCTTCAGTTATTGAAATATCGGAGTTTTCGTATATCAAAAAAATAGCGTTATACTGGAAGCCGGTGCAATTTAAGCCCGATTTGAATAATTTTCAATGAATTAATTTTCGGTACCAAGGTTATTAAATGCACCGAGTTTGGTAGAAATTGATAAATCGGTTACCGAGAAACACATTTTTGGTCAGCAGTGGGCGGAGCCACGATATAAGTAGAACAGAATGTAAATGATTTGATAAAATAATTGAATAAAAAGAAGGGAATAAGGGAAAATATGTAAGGCATAGAATAGAGCTCGACAATAGTGCAGACAGTTGTTAGAAATCCAAACAAAAGAGAATTAAAGCAACAAATTGATTATCTCAGAAAAATACGTAAACCATTTCATGAAAGCTATCTACAATAATCAAAATTATATTTCAGAACCTCCACAAACTGGGGTTCGTGCATTGTTTAATTTTTGATAAAAGAGATATCTATAAAATTGATTTCGAAGAAAATTGTATCCGATTACCTGGAAATTTTCTTAGAGAAGCATTGAAGTTTTTTACACTTCGTTTCTCACTTTTCTAGTATGTACCTTTAACATTCCAAATAATTCAACCTAATTAATTCACTTTTAGATAATGTGCGCAGCGCCGTTGGCCGACGGGGACCTCAACAAATGGGCATGGGTCCACAACAAATGCAACCTGGACAACATGGCATGCCCGGTCAAATGGGTATGCCAGGCCAACCACATCAGCAGCAGCAACAGCATATGATGGGCCAAGATCCACATCAGTACGATCCAAATCAGCCAATGCAACCGGGACAACAACAACAACAGCCCGGACAGCAACAGCCAGGGCAACCGGGACAACAGGTGAGCTATACAGTGCATACGTTTAATACAAATCAAATACAAACACAAAAAACCCAAACAAAACAGAGAAAGCGTTACAATTTAGGTTTTATTCACTTCAATGTTACACTGAAAAAAAATCGTATATTTACCAACAATTAAAATACACTGTAAATAATTAAGGCGCTGCGCTCTTTCGTCAAATCAAAGTTAATAAAAATAAACGTTTTTCTTCAAAAATTACTTAATTGGTATTTAAAAGAAATCTTATTTCCAACTAATTTAACTTCTAAATGTTTTGTGCTGTGGAAAATCGGGCGCGCTGTATATGATTTCCTATTGAATTTACATACACATGTAAATACATCCATACATACATGCAGACAAGAAGTAAATAAAATATCCACACATTTTCTGTTTTCGCTGTTTGTGCATAAATGTAAAATACACCTTCTACATTAGTGGTATTCACGATCCGGTGCATACTGTTTAGCATGGTGCATAGTTAGCATAAATAACATGATTGGCTTATATTTGTTGTTGTTTGAACAGATGGAACAACAACAATCATGCTATTTACGCTATCTACATATGCTGCATATGCGTCAGAAAGTACGATAGCGATCCGAAAATTGTCCCTAACTGGTACCGGAATCTCCCTCCTGAAGTAAAAAATATCGTAAATAAGTACTTTGACTGTACTTCGAAGTACGAAGTACAAGAGCGAAAACAGAAGTACTGTACTTCCGAAAGAAGTACGGTTGGTCACATTATCTATGCACCATTCTAGACAGTATGCACCGGATCGTGAATATCCCTATTTAAACACACTTATGTTTACACAAACATACCGATCAAATAAGCACTCAATACTAACATCGCAGAAAAGTTTTGCTTTATGTGATAAGAAAATAAAAAAAAATATTTATAAGACCCACGAAATAATTGTAAACAAATATTCAACAAAATAAGTTTAAAGAATTTTATTCGATGAAAATGTGTTTTTCTTAAGTTCACGTTTGCATCAATATTATTTGTATCATAAAGTTTATAAAAGCATTTGACACATGTAGATGCATATCGCTATCTTAAGGTAAAAAGTTGCTAAGTCAACTTTTTGTGAGAACACATATTTTGATATCATTTTAAAACGGATTAAGATACTTTTTTAATTCATCCGTTTTATATTCATTGAGAGGCAAGTTTTCTAAATCCAAAAGAGTCACAGAAAATTGGATAAAGCCAAAATACGAATAATAAAAAATATTTTAATTAACGTCGAATGCTTTGAACTCAGTTTTCTTGTTTTGCTTAAAATATGCAAAATGTTTTATACAAAGATTCGCGAAATACTTGAATAAAAATGGCTATAAGAAGTACTTTTCTTCTGCTCTGTAAAATAAAAAAAATCGACTTAGCAGTTGTTCACTATAAGCTAGCGATATATATGTATATGTATGTACACCAAAAACCTTATTGAAAAATCGGAAACAGTGGTTGAAAATCTTCAGTCTGAAGAGTGAAGTAGTGGAAGAGAGAGAGAGAGAGAGAGAGAGGAAGATACTAACGGTGATACTACTACTGTTTTATTTTTTAACGTGTAATAAATCACAAAAATTTATGAAGAAAAAAATACAATAAAATATAAATAAAATTCGGTAAAATAAAGCGAAAAATAATGAATTAAATAAAATATATTGGTTAGACGTGCATTTATGCTGGAGCTACAATAAGGGTTGAGCCAAGACGGCCTTAAAGATAAGGATAAACAACAAATGACAAGAGCTTATACGAAATTCCCATTTACAGTCAGCTCATCACAGAACCTCAGCATGCCCTAGATACTCTATAAATTTCAGAACAGATCCCGGGGAAGCAGTTTTAATAATGTCTCCTTGGCGAAATAGGTCGCTTGACCAAATTCCTAGATTATACAAGCCTGTAAGAAAGCCTGTAATGATGATAGCTTTTAGCTTGACGAATACCCGAGGTACCACGCCAGTGCAGTTCCCTTGGTTCGACATTTTCCCTTCTGGTTCGGAATTTATTTATATTTAAAGGA